ATTCGAAGAGTAGGGAGGAACACACTCAGTATCCGACTTAGATCTTACAGGTTCTCAGAAAAAAGAAACTATATACAAAATTGAGTAAGTGTGGGTTTTGGCTTGAGTAGACTTCCTTCCTATGGTACATAATATCAAAAGATGGTGTGTCAATGAATCCCAAGAAGATTGATGTATTGATGGGTTGGAAGTAGTTGACTTTGATTAAGGAAGTTCGAAGCTTTCTGGGTAAGACAGGTTATTACCGCAGGTTTGTAGAAGGGTTTTCAAGTATAGTCGCCCCCTTTACCTGACTTGTGAAGAAAAATGTCAAGTTTGAGTGGGATGATGAATGTGAAAGGAGCTTTACAGAATTTAAAAAACAACTAACTATTGTGCTAGTCTTGGCTCTGTCGAATAGAGCGGGTGGATATACAGTATATAGTGATGCGTCCTCCCAAGGATTGGGTTGCGTTCTCATGCAGCACATGAATGTCATAGCTTATGGGTTCAGGCAATTGAAAACTCATGAAAAGAATTGCCCTACCAACGACTTGGAACTTGCTGCCATTATTATATAGAGAAACATTTAAAATTTATACAGACCATAAGAATTTAAAGCATATATTCACATAGAAGGATCTTAATATGCACCAAAGGCGTTGGATAGAGCTCTTCAAGGATTACGATTGTAAGATCATGTATCACCCGGGTAAGGGTAATGTGGTAGTCGACATTCTCAGCACGAAGAATGCAGGTATATCAGCTCACATAATGGTTTCTGAATACAGGGTAATAAAGGCTACGCTGTAGATACAGCTCAAGGATTTGAAAATAGCCATATGCCTGGCCCATCAAGCGGTCTAACCTGAATTAATCTAGAGAACAAAGGAGGCTCAACTGACCGATCTTACTTTAGCAACTCTTAAAAAGGATACAGAACAGGGTTTAAATTCAGAATTCTGAGTCTCTGGCGATGGGTTGCTCAGGTTCCAGGATAGGCTATGTGTCCAAAATGACAGCGAACTAAAAAATGATATCATGATAGAGGCTCACAGTTCAAAGTTCACCATATATCTGGGAAGTACTAAAATGTATCAAAGCATGTGACCCCAATTTTGGTAGAACATGATGAAAAATAAAATTTTTTATTTCATCTCCAAGTGCCTTATATGTCAACAGATCAAGGCAGAGTATCAACATCCAAATGGGCTACTTCAACCATTACCAATTTTGGAGTGAAAATGGAGACATATCACCATGGACTTTATAACAGGGTTCCCTATGGCACGTTCGGGGCATGACGCAATTTGGGTGATTGTTAACCGACTCATTAAGTCCTCTCATTTCTTAGCCATCAAAATGATTGATCCCTTGGACAAACTAGATAGAATCTACATTCGAGAGATAATCAGACTACATAGAGTTTTGGTAACAGTGGTATTAAACAGGGATCCTAGGTTTACCTCTCGATTTTGGACAAGCTTCCAATAAGCAATGAAGATGAAATTGTCTCTTAGCACAACGTTCCACCCTTAGACAAATAGACAATCAGAGCGAACCATTTGCATACTAGAGGATATGCTTAGGGCTTGTGTTTTGACTTTCGAAAGGCACTGGGATGACAAACCCTGTAGATCGTCGATCTATTGAGAATTGGATGATAGAAAATTAACTGGTCCAGATTTTATAGATGAGACCACAATGAAGATAGTTAAAATTAGGATTAACATCCAGACGACCCAGAGTAGACAAAAAAGTTATGCAGACAACTGAAGAAGAGATTTAGAATTTGAGAAAGGAGATCGAGTATTCCTTAAGGTCACCTCCTTTAAGGGTATAGGCAGGTTTGAAAAGAGGAAAAAGTTGAACCCCTGGTTCATTGGACCGTTTGAGATCTTCGACAAGATTGGAACATCCGCCTACAGGCTAGCACTACCTCCATAACTATCTAGAGTCCATAACGTATTTCATGTGTCAATTCCACGCAAGTACAACTCGGATCCCTCACATGTCTTGTCTTATCAGCCACTTTCACTCCATGATGATTTATCTTACGAGTAGGTACCGGTTGGTATTTTGGATCGAAAGAGCAGAGTGCTTCGCAACAGAGAAATTTTCTTCATCAAGGTCCTATGGCAGAATCACTTGCAGGACGAGGTCACTTGGGAGTTGGAATTAGACTTTAGTATCCAGTATCCTCAATTGTTTGACTAGTGGGAGAAAAGCAAATTTGAAAGACCAAATTTTCTTAAAGGAAGGAAAGTTGTAACACCCCGAGCCTGGGATTTAGGCTTGATATAAATAAATTTATATTAATAATAATTTTAGAAATTTTAATTTTAATTTTTCTTAAATTTTTTGAAAAAATATACATTTTAGGTGTATTTGAAAATAATTTTCGAAAGTTATGGTTGAACTAGAAATAAGGAATGATCTTTTGTAGAGAAAATTAAAAAACTGTGCAAAAGTGCAAAAATAAAAATGGCCACGTAGGACTGCCACGTCAGTAACACGGTCAGTCGTCGTGCGCCGCATGGCAGACACGTAGGAAGCCATGTGGGCAATCCGCATGCCAATCGATCCAACGATTCGGATTTTCTCCCGTATGCACGAACGGCCCAAATTTGTTCCCCCTTCAAGCGCGATTGAAAGGTCCACGTGCCTTCGATTGGATGACTCTAATTCGTTTTCCAAATTGGATAGATCAGACAATGGAGATTGGGTCGTGCAGCCTCAAATGGACGATCTGGATCAAAGGACGAGTCCCATAACAGAAGGGGTTGGGAAGTGTTTTGTTCACGCTCATACCAGACGGGGTATTGAGGCGGTGGTATGTTTCGAGCCCCATTACCGGATGGGGTATGGGGACAGCAGATTGATTAATGGAATGGATATTAGGTTCACGTA